TCTGTTTTGTGAGGTGGAGGACTTTGTGGACTGGTGTTGGGTTAATGGGTTAATGTTGGACTTGTGGGCTTGGGCAGCATTGGGTTGGGATGTTTTCATGATGCACATTTTCTTTACATAAAACTCTCTCTTATACATGAGTTGCTGTGGATTTGTTTCTCCAAAGTACCCAGACTAACACAAGCCACATTAAATAATGCACGGCTCCTGTAGCTGGGACCATTTAGTCCTTATGGTAAATGAGGCTGTGGTTTGTGTAAACTATTTGTCCTATAAATTACTTTCTTTTAAGTTTTAGCTTCCCTCTGGATGAGATGAAATCAATAGGGGTACCTCAGTTGGCTATTTGTAACTTTTAAGACCGAAAACACTACTCACCAAACTAGGATATGGAATATAGCTTTAAGAATGATATTATGCCAAATGACTGAAATGTCTCATGAGACCATGCTACTAATCCTCTAAATCAAGAAATCTTAGCCTGTGTGGTGTTTAAATATCTGTTAATTGTGCTCAAACTGCATAAAAAATGTGCTGAAAAATTTGGCTTATACACATATGGCAAATGAATTATTTTTATTTCTTTTCCTCCTCATTCATCAGATTTCTTTTTCAACAAACTATATAGCACCTTTGTATTATTTTAATACATTTGGTTTTTGAAGCTGCGTATTATAATAGCCATTTTATTTTCTCTTAGTGTGTGGTGTGTGTGTATGTGTGATCATAGTCGCTTTTTGATATAATTCTCAGTATTAACTCTGTACTTTTAAAGGGGAATTTTATGGTATGAGAATTATATTTCAACAAAAATACATACATTTAAAGAGAAGAAGGGCAAGATGTAGAGACAGCCAGGTCCAGCCTCTGTTTGAAGAGTTTATTTGAAAGAACGACAAACATAATGTGGGAATAGAAAACAGTGAGGAGATGGGGACAGGGAGAATTTTTTTTCTCTCCTCAAAACTCAGGAGATAAATAGTATGTTCGTATGCTGATTTGAATGAACCAAAGGGAAGGAGTATATTAATGATGTAAAGTTGGGCAATGGGAAATTGTAAGCTCCACATCTTAGAGTTTGTTGATTGTCTCGTTAGATAACTGTCTTTGTTCCCCTTTCCTAGGTGACAGATCAGTCCGTGAAAGCATTTGCTGAGCATTGTCCTGAACTTCAGTATGTTGGCTTCATGGGCTGTTCAGTTACTTCTAAAGGAGTCATCCACCTAACCAAGGTAGATACCATGGCTAACTCTTCTTGGTGTTTTTGATTTTCATTGGGTGGTATGCGTGAAAGTTGCTCTATGTCCTTGAATCAGAATTAGTCTCATGGAGAACTCACTGTATGTACTAGTGCTTGATAGCATTTAATCTTTGTTGTTTGTTTTTTTTTTTTGTAACAATGCTAAACCTGTTCTTTTAGAAAAAGAACATTTATTTGAACAAGAAGCTTGTAAAACCCAAAACACATTGCTTTTGAGTTGATTCTAGTTTATAACTAACCTGTAATACTGAGTTGAACTGCCCCATAGTGTTTTCAAGGTTGTAAATGTTAATGGAAGTTGGCTTCTACTTCTTTTTCCTGAAGAGCAGCTGGTGGGTTTGAACCACTAATTTTTATTGAGTAGCTGAGTGCTTAAACATTGTACCACCAGGGCTCCTTTACATTGTTGAAGACTAGGACATGTATGCGTTGCATTTCCATGCCTCTGATAGGAATCCTTTGTGTTAACTTGCTATATTGTATATAGAAGACATTTTGAATTGAGGTTTTAACTGCTCACGTGTCTCAGGATCCTATAAATATAGGTCTTTTGAGAAGTGAATATGTTCACTATTTGATTTGATTCATTATTTGAGTGCTCTGAATATGCAGGTTTAACACTTTTTAAAGAGAAGTTATTTATTTTTTTGAGAAGTTATTTATGTAAATAATGAACCTTATAGTTCAGATAGTTAACTTATACATCAAATATAGCATATCATATTTTAGTAATCATCAAAATACAAATTATTTTGTAGTATTTCATTTCTTCTGATTTCCAGAGCTATAAGATAATGATACATACATATCATAGAAAATCTGACTATTATAAAATATGCATATATATTATCAGACATTTATCAGTGCTTTACTTTTAACTATATCATATAGTTCTTAGTGGAATGGTTGTGAACCTTGCTTTTCCACTTAATAGTTGAGTAATCTTTTAATTCAATCTTTGTTCATATTTCAGCTGTTGTCTAAGCAGATGTTATAGATTGTGTCCCCTCAAAATATGTGTTGTAAATCTTCACCCCTGTATCTGTGGTTATAATTCCATCTGGAAATGGGTTTTCTTTGTTAACTAATGAGGGTATTAGTGTAGGGTATGCCTTAGCTAAATCTCTTCTGAGATAACTGATTATAGTGATGATTATACAGCTCTTCATGATGTGATTGTATCATGTGAATTATATGATAATGTATTTGAATGGTATGATGTGAATAATATGCTATGAAAACTGTTGGAAAAAATGTTCAGGTTAAGCCAGCAAGCAGAGATGGAAAAAAATAGATGCCATGCCACATGAGGATCACTCTAGTTGCCAAGGGATAGAAGCAAGAGAAAAAAAGGCAGGGACTTCACCCGGGGCCCACAGAAAGCCTTTCTTTAAAGCCAGACCCTTAAGCTAATATTTCTAGACTCCTAAACTGTGGGAAAATAAATTTGTTTGTTAAAAAATCCACTTGTACTTCTTTTATGTCACCACTATATGACTAAGACAGCAGCTCAGTGATGAACAGAGCAGGTAAGATCCAAGGTCTCTTTGGGCTGGATCTCTTTGGCCTTACAGCCCAAAATAATGCCGTTCTTTCCGCTCTCAGAAAAGAACAAATGTTTACAAATTACCCAGGACTATCGCAATGAAGTATGGTTGTTTAGAGCATAAGTTCTGAAGTCAGCTTGAGTTTCAATCCTGATCTTGCCAATTATTGGCTGAGACACCGAGAATTTATTTTCCAAGGTATTAAAATGAGGTGATCCATATTACAGAGCTTCAGAAAGCTGATGGAAATTGGAATTAAAAGGTAATGGAAATTTTCCACAAAGATTTTGAAGCCCCATCATGTAAGGTCCATGGCTTCATGAAGAGCTTGGATCGCTGCTGTGTTCCGTAGAGTTGGTTCCGTAGAGTTGGTTCCGACTCGGAGCCACTCTATAGGACACCGTAGAGCTGCCCCATGTAATTTCCTAGGTTGTAATTTACTTAGGGCAGACCACCCAGCCCTCC